TGGGGGGGGGGGTGCTGGTGCATGGCACGTCTCCGGGAAAGCGGGACTGGCGCCGCCCGGGTCCCCTCACCTCTTGCAGGGCGCGCCGCCGCCGCCCCCGGTCCGGTCGCGCTGTCGTCGGTTCTTGAACCAGTTGCTAACCTGCGTGAGCGAGAGGCCGGTGAGCGTGGCCAGGCGGCGCTTCTCGTCCGGCGTGGGGTAGCGGTTGCCGCGATAGCAGGCCTTGAGCGCTGCGCGGGACCGCTCCTTGAAGCAGTAGACGGTCTCTTCGCCGTCCCAGATGGTCTTGGGCAGCGGGAACTTCTTGCGCAGACGGTACTTGTCCACCGCGCCCAGCGCGCGGCCACGGGCCCGTTCGGCCTCGTGGTAGCGCGCGCGCAAGTAGAGGTCCTGCAGAAACGCGTGGTGGGCGGCGGGGAAGGGGCGGCTCTCGAGCAGCCGGTAGAGCTCGGCGTACTCGCCCCGCTGGAAGGCCACCAGGGCCCGAGCGCGCAGCACCGGATCGCTGCCACGTAGGCGCTCGGCCGGGGGCAGTGCGCCCAGGAAACGGCTCAAGCGGCCGGCGTGGCCCGCCTGTAGCAGCGCCTCGCACACGCACGCCACCTGTTCCGGCGAGAAGCGGAGACCCGTGGGCGGCTCGGCAGCGGCCTCGGGGGGCGACCCGGGTACGCCCGGGGATCCCGGGCCCTCCACTTTCACCGCCGCTTCGCCCGCCCCGGCCCCGGCCGCCGCCGCTGCCTCACCCTCGGCCGCCTGCAAAGTCTGCAGAAGCTGGCGCGCTTCCTCCTCCTCCTCTTCGGTCGCTGCCGCCGCCACCGCCTCCCCCCCAGCCGCCGGCCCCGCGCTCGGCTCCGCAGGCAAGGTAGCCATGTTTTGCAACTTTGGGAAGTTCCTCCCTCCTTCTCCTCCTCGCCCGGCTCCCCTCCCCGCACCCCCCCGCAACTTCGCCGCTTCCCGATCTTCTCCCGCCGACCCCGCGTCTCCCCCCTCACCACCGAGGCCAGGCCCAGTTCTCTATTAGGGTCTCTGTCCCAGTGTCTGTGTGTGTGCCCGTCCCCCTCCCCGTCTGTACGTGATTGTCCCTTTGTTTTCCCTTCGCCTCAGGCCGCGCTTTTTGCCTCCCCCCCGCGTGTGCCTCTGGTTCAGGGCCTCAGTTTCCCCATCGGGACAACGGAGAAGGCAACAGGCCGTCCGGCAGGGCTAAGGGCGCGAAGCCGCCTCCGCCCCGAGACTGAGCTTCTGCACGCCTCCGTCTCCAGGGTCCTCCGAAGGCCCCCCTCACTCCCCATCTCGGCCCGCGCTCCGCCCCTCGGAATTCCCGGCTCCGCAGGGGGGCGGGTCTGGCTGGGAGAAGGGGCGGGGAAAACGGGCTAGAAAGTTTGCAGCAACTTTTCTTGAGCGTAAGTCAGTCTCTGGAACGGATGCGCGTGGCCCGCGCAGGCGCAGTGGTAGGAGGATGGCGGCGCTAGCTGCCAGCCCAGCACCCCCCTTCACCGCGGCCTGACGGCACAGCTGGGCCACAGCTGGACAAGAGGCGGTGTCTCCTGGTGGCCCGCCCTTCTTCTCCTATTGGCCGGATGTCGAAGCCACGCCCCTCAGCCCACCCCCACCCCTGATACGTCCGCTTCGCCTCCCGCTAGCTTGCTGCCAGGCCATTGGCCACCTCCACTCGCCTTCCTATTGGCCCACTGAAAAGCCTCCTGCCCTCAAAGCAAACAGCGGACACGAAGAAATTTCAGAATTTTGGGCAGACGAGAGGGCCTTTTATTCGCGAGGATCGGGGGTGGGGGTCCTAGGTGGCGAAAGACAATAAATACCGAGGAATGTCGGGGTCTTAGTGCATCCAAAATGTGGATTAGGGTGCTGGGGTCCTGGAGCCTGTTAGCGGGTCGGAGGAAAGGTCAATAAATACCCATACTGCCGAGGCGGGCGGAGCCGTCTGTGGCTCCGAGAGCAGCGCACGTGAGGAGGGCGCGAGAGTCCCCGAAAAAAGCGGGGCTGTCAAAAGGTAAAGGCGGAGCTCGCGCTAGACGTTCACCGCGGAAAGGGAGTCTTCCCGGGAGGGCAGGGCCTCATGCACAAGGAGGATTTGTGGTTTGCAAGCCGATGTGGGTGGGGGGGGTGCCTGGAGGGTGAAAAGCAGATGCCGACCCCTGGCCCTGCTGCCTTCTCTAGGTCGCAGCTTGCCCATCGACGTCGGGAGCCTCAGCTAGGCCGGAGAAAGGAAGAGGTCCGCGATCCCCCCAGCAGCAGTAGCAGCAGCATTCCCGGCTACAAGCCTCCCTGGAGCCGCGGCCCCGGCTCCTCCCTCCCCGGCCGCCAGGGGGCGGGCCCGGATCACAGGGCTGGAGCTGGGGCGGAAACCCACGTTCGGAGTGCTGTGAACTGGGGGGCGGTGGGAGTGGCTTCTGGGCCGTGCCTGGGTCACCAAACCCTCCAGCGGAGCCCGAGTGGAGGACAGGCTCGGGTTCTAGGGTTCAGGCGGCGAAGGCGGCTCCCGGGCGGGGTCAGACTGTGGCAAGATAGCCGGCGCAGGCCACCAACCCAATGCAGCCCAGGGCGGCGGCACAAGCCAGAGCAGAGGCGAACAGGAGCAAGGAACGCGCCTCCGATAGGCCAGGCCTAGGGACCTGCGGGGAGAGGGCGGGGGTCAGCACTGGCGACGCGCGCCTCTGATTGGCTCCCGGGGCCAGCCCCGCCTACGCCCATAAGAGGGCCCACACACTCCCTGCACCCGCCCCGCCCCCTCACAGCGCTGGTAGCTGTGATTGGTCGGCTCGCAAGCCTAAGTCTTGTCTCAACTCCTCATTGGCTGCCTCTTAGAGGCCTGTGTTGATTGGCTGCCCGAGTATCCTCCCTCCCCGCCGCGGGCCCCACCCCGCAGAGGCGCAGCTAAGCAGAGGCGGCTTGGGGTACGTGGAGCTGGGCGGGGGCACGCGACGGGCGGGCGTGAGCAGCCGGACGTACCCTGGCAGGGAGCAGCAGGTGGCGGCGGTGCATGGGGCCTGGCCCCACCAGCGGGCACTGGCCCAGAGCCACGGCCGGGGGGCCATCTAGCTGGAGAGAGAAGGGACAGGTGACCCGATCCGAGCCCAGCTCGGCACGGCCGCCCTCGGCGGGGTGCAAGAGACAGAGAGGGGAGTCGAGGTCGGGGAGGTCATCTAGGGAGATCCTGGATGGGATTTGGTGAGAGGCCTGAACCGAGGGAGATCTGGTAGATTTGGGCATGAATGGAGGGTGTCTGCTGACTGGAACCTCAAAGAGGTAGGGGTGAGCCTCTAAGTCTGACAGGGGTACGGGTAGATGGGGACAGAGTGTGCAAAGGGGCCAGCAGGCTTGACGCAGGGGAAAAAGAGGGGTCTTACATGGGAAGGTGGATCCGTGGCCCGGGGACTGGGGACCCCCGTGACAGCTGGAAGGAGAAGAGAGAGGCGCAGGGCGCGTGGAGGGTCGGAGAAGGGCGGTGGCGCGGCGTGCCCCAGCCTGGGCCCCTCACCCTCCCCCAGGTGTATACACACGCCGCGGGCCCACCTCCCCCCCCCCCCCCCCCACACACACCTTGCATTCCTTCACCCACCCATGGTGCCTTGAAGATGACTCCAACTGTAAATAAACATTGGCGGGAAGATCTCTACAGTC